GAGGCCACTTGTAATGTTGTTCTAGGTAGGAGTGTTTGGCTTTCAAGAAAGCTGCTATTCTAACTTTCTGCAGCTTATTCCACTGCATCCACCTGTTCTATTAGTTGTACAAAGCCGAGATAACCAGAGGCTCAGACAGGAGGTTAAAGCTTCCGGATGCTGCATGTAGGGCCCTCAACTGAGAGCTGAACCTTTGTGAATTGCTGGTTGATGCAGTTTCTAATACGCCTGCTGTAATGTAAAACCTGAGCTGTCACCTAAAAGCCCTCTTCTGATAGGAAGCAGCAGTTCAACTCTTCTTTGCTCAACGATTAATCTACTAAAACACCAGAAGACATTTTCTGTTCCCTTGGTGGCTTCAGTAGCATGAGGGAACAGCAGTTTGTGTGAGAGTAAACCGAGGTGACACATTGCTAAATAAATATAGCTAAGTCATAAAAATTCTCTGCCAACTTACTGTTTCAATTTACATGTACTGTTTTTGGTTTCCTGTCTTGTTAATTTGTTTCTATATTAAAAAAAAAAAAAAAAGAAGGAAAAATTTAAAAATTGGTTGTTCTTTTAATAGGTATTTATGATGATGATCCTGAAATTATAACATTGGATCGAGGAGAGTTTGGTAAGTTTCAGTATGTTAGCTTGACAATCTGACAACCCAAAGTAATGGTTTTTACATTCTGATGTGTATTTCTATAGGCTTATATTACGTGTCTTCAAATTATTTTTTGAACTGTCAGAAAACCATCTTTGTATGGGGAAAAAACATTCTTTAACAATTCCTGACAAACTGTAGTTAATCGGCATCTATACAGAGTTTAATTTACTTTGTGAGATCTGTAAGAAGAAATTACTTGGCTTAATTTTTGTCAATAGTGTGAGGATATTTTAATATAGGAAAATGTACCTTAAAAAGTCACTATAAAAACAACGTTCACAGGTGCAGACTGAAAGGCACGGAATTCGTGTGTGTGGGCGTGCATTTTGTTGCTGTTGTTTTATTAGTGAGAGTAGTCATTACCTTTCCTATTATTTTTCTAGTTACCATCAGCTGATTATGTTGCATTTTGAGCTATTAGACAAGATTTCTACATAAAGCCATTGCCTTGTGGAACTTCAAAAAGAAGCAAGGTGATCATAAGGAAGTGGAAATCTTGATTATGTAAAGTTGTTTTAGCAATTGTGCTTTGTTGTTAAGGTAACCAATCTCACAGTAGCAAACATTTCAGCTAGGCTAATCTCTAAAGAGTACATTTATTCTCAACAGGACTTGTGTTGAAATTCAGGGTGGTGATATCCTCTGTAGAACAACTTTCATTCACTTGCCTACAGTAGTAACTATGCAAGCGAGATGGAATTTGTATCCACTCTGAGTTACTGTTACTGGCTTGTGTCTGACATCAGGAAATACTCTGTTCAGCTTTCAGGAAAGCAATATACATACATTTGAGATTTGCATACCTGCAGTGTAGTTACTACTTACGTACAATTTTCTTCTCTCTATCTAGATGCTGCTATTAACTCTGGAGAGCTGTGGTTTGTCAACTTCTATTCTCCTCGGTGTTCCCACTGCCATGACTTGGCACCTACGGTGTGTATAGCCAGCACAAAGCTCTCAAAGTGCTGCTCCTCAACTTTGTCATTACTCGGCATAAAACTTGATGAGGTGGATTTTTATGCTGAAGTGGAAAACAACTCCAAGATCTAGAAAAAAAATATGCTGATCTTTTTCGTTATTTCTTTATAGGAAAATAGCCCTTTTTTTTTTTTTTCCTCTCCTTTTTTTTTGCTAGTGGAGGGAGTTTGCTAAAGAGATGGATGGAGTAATACGCATTGGAGCTGTCAACTGTGGAGATAACAGAATGCTGTGTCGAATTAAAGGGATTAACAGTTATCCCAGTCTGTATGTTTTCAAAACTGGAATGGTAAGTGATAACATTTCAGGCATTTTTTTAGAAGGATTGAAATCGGGAAGAGTATTTCTTTAACCCTTGCTAAATCATATATTTTTATACAGCTTTCCATTTATCTAATTTCCTTGTAAGAAAATTTTCTCTTCCTTCATAGTGATTAAAATTTAGATAGCTAACTTCTGTACATGTTTTATACTGTGAGTTCTTTGGTTCTTTGGTTTTTTTTGGGTTTTTTTTGTTTTTTTTTGGTTTTTTTTTGTGAGCCTTGTTCTTGGTTTGTTTTTGTCTTGAATCATTTTGCTCTCCAACAAGTAAACTTGTGATCTTTTCTCTTAATAAATAAATAAATAAATAAATAGAGTTGCTGTACAGAAGGAAACTTCTGATTTGGGAAGGTACTGTCATCAGTGGTGCAGCAGCAAAGCAATGACTCTGAACCCTTAGACAGGTTCTGCTTGTATTTTAGAAGTCCATTATAGTAGAAAAAGAACAATCTGTATCTATGACTGCATACCTAAAGAAACCTGGAAATTGCTTCCACAAGTCTTCCTGCACACCAAGAGGAATTGTGCGTGCTGTCCTTGGCACCGCTGCTTAACAGGCAGTTGCAAAGAGTTGCATGCAAATTGCACTTGCATCGTTAGGTATATTTTGACAATATTAAGATTTGAGAGGCTGAGTGCAGAGATTGCTCGTGTCAGTCCATTTAGCATATGCACAATTTTAATTCTTATTTAAATAAAAATATAATTGTTAGGAGCTGGCATTTCTGAGATGTAGTCATCCCTTGTGTTGCTTGACTTGAGAAGAAATCATGTTACAAAATTGAAATAAAGGTTAAATTCCAAACATTTCAGTAAGAGAGAAGAAGAACACAGCAAAAATCTTCAGAGAGGGGAGGGAAAAGTGAGTCTGACAGTTGTGTAAGTACTGTTAACAAAAGCACGGGTATACATGTGTACGTGTGTGTGTACAGACTGTATATAAAGTCAGCAAATAAAGTTTATAAAATATATTGTTCTTTGTCTTCTGTAGCAACCTGTGAAATACTATGGAGACAGGTCAAAAGAGAGCTTAAAGAACTTTGCCATGCAGTATGTTACAACCACAGTCACTGAGCTGTGGGCAGGTAATATTCATGTATTTTGCTCGGGGTGCTGCTCTTGAAATTGCTTTTACGCTATAAAAGATGGCAGAAGCTGGGTGTAAAACAAAGTCTGCCCAAAATCTGCTGTTGGTTTTGATAGTAAAAATAGTGTTTTCTGTACTTAAAAGCTGCTTGTTTGAGTTTATACTGAAACCAGTCACAAACTGATGCAAATTGTTTCGTTCTCAGGAAATTTTGTAAATGCCATTGAGACCTCATTTGCTTCTGGCCTCGGTTGGTTGATCACCTTCTGTGCTGAACGTGGGGGTAGGTGTATTACGCTCATCAAAAAAGCAAACAGGAAAAAGTGTTCTTGTTGACAATGACATGATCCCTTCTGCTTGTAATGAAGAATAAATTTGTTCAACATCTTAGAAAAACACAATATTTGGGCTGTGGGGTCATTTAAGCTCCATTCTACAGGCATTTTCACTAAAGGAACGTGAATAGAAAGGTTATGGTATTGTGATTCTGTAATGTCATGTGAGTCATTAAAACAGCAATCAAGCACCACCCCTCAGGAAGGAAACAGGCAGAAAAGGTCTCTGGCTTGAGTTTCCAGCTCAAGCTCAAGTAACAGATACTGCAGGCTGGCTTGTCATGGTACCTGATTGGAAGAAAGGATGAATCCCCCCACCTTAAACTACCAGTACCTAAAAATGAGCTGAATGTCATGGACTTTCTTGGGATCAGTACTAGATAAAACAAGAGAAAGCTGCCTGGGTTGGCTGGTAGAGCTCAGGAAATTTGCTACACCTTTGACAAATAAAGATTTCTCCATCCTATGAAGAGACCTTTGTTCTGAAAAATAAATAATCAGAGTTGCAGTGTGACTTATGTTTGTAAACAGTTGGATTTCAAGTTGTAATCCTTTTGTCATTAAGTTTTCAGCTTTGGTCCAGTTAGAGTGAGGATGAAAGGTCATCTTAGTAAAGGAAAATTGACTATTCGAAATAAGTCTAGATAGATTATTTGAGCATATGATAAATATATTACAGTGAGTTGTTGTAATTTTAATCATAGGGATTTTATATTTTAATTTAAATCTCATTCCAAGGCAGCCTATAGATATGTTTTTCATTATTTTTATTAAAATTTCTTCTGATATCATTATTTAAGCATCTTAGTACAGCAAATAAACATTTTAGTATAACTTTTAAAATAGATATTTCTTTGATGAAACAAGAGAATGCTATTCATGCTACTTTTAACTTACAGTAGACAACCATTGGTTGTCAATTTCAGGACAGCTTGGTCACTGCAATACTTCACAACTAGCCAGGAAGCATGTCTTTTGAAGGGGTTGCCTTTATAAGGGAGAAAGGGGTGATTCTAAACAAGAGTAGTTACAGTTAATAATCTGAAGTCTTATGTTTGCAAATAAATTACTTTTATTTTGCAGATTGCTTGAGTTACCAAACACGTCTTAAGCTTGCTGGCATGTTGGTAAGCAGTGTTTCATTTTGAAAGCATTACCTGCAATTTAAAAACAGAATTGAAAGCCTGAAGTCACAGCCAAAACTTTATGTTTAGTGTTGATTTTCAGAGCAGATATATATCTTGACTTAGTAACTATTGGAATTATTTTCAGATTTTATATGGCTCTTTAAAAATGTTAAGTGACATTTGACAACGTGACCTCCTTCCATTTTCTAAACGTATGTAACAATTTTTGATGGGATTTTCAGTAATTTTTCTGAACCTGAAATTTAAAGATACCATTCTTGTTGGGTTTTTTTGTGATGTCTTTTTGTTTTTTTTGTTGTTTTTGTTTTTTTTTTAATTACAGGAAGGTCTTGCTAATGTAGGCTGGATGGACTGTGGCACTCAGGGTGAGCTTTGTGATAATTTAGATATCTCATCTAGTACTACAGCATACTTTCCACCTGGAGCCACCATAAATAACAAAGAGAAAGGAGGTGTTTTGGTACGAGTTGTTTCTAAAAAAATTCTGTATTTAGATAAGATAAGGCAATGGCATTGACAGAGGAACACACAAATGATGTCCAGATTGCTTATGTACAACTGAAAGGATAGCATGGGAGTGTGTTGTTTTTCTGTTTCTTTGTTTAATTTTTGTCTTCTAAACTTGTGTATCCTATGAGTTTGTATCCCACTTGGTTTCTAAGGCAGCAATCCCTGGAGTAGTCTGCAGCTTGCTGGTGTGCAGGCGGAGTGGAGGAGAGCAACGGTGCAAGCAGCACCAGCCTCTAGTCCTGCTAAGCCACCTCTTCTGGAGCCTCACAGAGTGGCTGTAGGAATCCTGGGGGTGGGATGTGCTTTGTGACAGGCCCAAGAGCTACTCCTGAATCTGCTCTCCAGCTGTTCCAGGCGAGGTTAGGAGGTTTCCCACATGCCCCTACTTTTTCCTCCAGGAAGAATATGCCCCAAGTATCACAACTGTGAGAAATGCTTTTCTGAGCAGAGCGCTGACAAACGTGATGAAAGCACTCCTACGCTGTCTGGCAGTAGGGATGATGCTGTTCAGCTCTGTTTTAATACTGCGACCTCCTCCTACCTTTGCATGGCAGCTTTAACTCCTTTAAGTGATGGGAGATGTTCCTCAGTATCAAGTATGGCCTGTTACTTTATTGCTGCTACTGTTGTCTGTATGCTTAAAAGGAGGAAATTAAATTCATAACCTACCCATTTTCAACTTATACCCAACTTACTCACTTGTATGAATTCCTTCATGGTATGAAATACTGAAACTTAGAAATACATACCACGCACTTAGGGAAGGCAGTAAAACTAAATTTGAAGCTTTTAAAACTGGATTTTAAAATTCAGTTTGAAATTTGAATTTGAGGACTTCTAGCACCCGTTCTGACAAAATTCAGTATCTTGAGATAAATGTGGGAAAGCAAGCTAAAAAGCAGTTGTCTGAGAACGTTGCTATTACATATATGAAAAGTTGATCAAATATGGTTATTGACTGTATTTTTCAGTTGATGGAAAAGAACAAATCAGAATAATTTTGCTGATACTTTAGTACTAATCGCTGATAAATGAGGTTGATGTTAACAGTTCTTTATAATCAGCAGTTTACTTTCCTTCCCAGTTTCTTAACTCCTTGGATGCCAGAGAAATATATCAGGAAGTCATGAAGCATCTGCCTGACTTTGAAATCATCTCTGCAGCATCATTAGAGGTAAATTCAAAACAAAACACATGGACAATATGTCTAAGTAACATCACCACCTGTTACTTTAAAATTTTAGATTATCACACTTGGCCTGATACCTTTTTTTTCCCCTCCAACCAAATTATTTAACATTTTTTGTCAACAATTTACTTCTGTAATTTAGCTCAATAGAAGTAGTGGGGTGCACATGTGGATATTTTAATTATACATAGATATTAAGAAAATAGAAAACCATGGAAATTGCCATTGGAACTCACAACAATAACTTTGTGGTTAAAATCTAGTTCAAAATCAGTGACAATTTGGTCGTGTGGCAGGAGGGAGGGGAGGACAGCCAGGCTCTTCTGACACTTGTAGTAGTAGCAGATTGATCCACAATAGAAAATGTAATGAAAACGAAGTATAGAGAGTAACATGTAGCGATCATGTTTTCAGATTTCTTTGCCTCTTTTCACTTATGATTTAGTAGAAAGAAGTTTAGTGGAGGACTAATTGAAAAAAACTTGAGTGTGGGAAGAGGTCATGTAGAGATCGACTGAATAATTGGGCATCATCTTTCCATAAAACAAAGAATCTGTAAATTGGTATAAGTGAGGAATAATGGTGTTTGGTTTCTTTTCCCCCTGTTGAAAGGACCATCTAGCTCACCACAGATGGCTGCTTTTCTTCCAGTTTGGGGAAAATGACAAATCAAGTGTACAGGAATTTAAGAAACTGAAATTTTTACTTAAAGACGAACACATTCAGGTAAGAGTGCTCACTTACCCAGTACTGGCCTTCGTTTGTATTCAGAGAACAAGTTGGTCCTTACAATTTGCTACTGCCACCTCTGGTACCAAAGAGAGATGCTGTTAGTATAGATGAGTAGTGACGTTTTTAAATTAAAGCAAGTGGTGAAGTTTTCCATCCTATCTAAATAAATTAGAAGTAATTAGGAAAGATTGTATTTTACATCTTTTCCCTCACAGCAAATACTGCTGCAGATCTCATTCAGTTAACAATCAAAAGTTAAAGCTTCAACATGAAATTGATGTACGCAAAACTGTATTATTCAAAAATCTCTATCGTTATCTTGAAAGTCATCTTAGCAAAGAGAAACCAGATTCAATCTTTGTACTAAAGACACGTGGATTGCGTTACTCTATAAGCTGTGGATTTCAAAAAATCATTGCAATGCTAGAAGGATTCTAGCATAATTTATTTCAGGAGTCTTTCTGCTTCCTTGAAGAAAGTAAGATTCTTTTTGGTGTCATTCTATTTTGACCTTCTAATTTGAAATTAGCAAAACAACCTAATATAGCTGTGACAGTTTTGCTCAAACATCATAGATGTAAGATTGTCTTAAGAGCTGTTATTTTTAAAAAGGCTACTGGTTGTCCATGTTTTTACTGCTTTTATTATGAATTTATCCTAATTTTTACCGCCTTCCAGACTGTTAGTCTGTATAAATTTGGATGCCTTAATTAAAATGGCACTCTGTTAAATAGGTTGGCAAGTTTGACTGTCTTTCCTCTCCAACCATCTGCAACAAACTATATGTGTATCAGCCATGTCTAGCAGTGTTCAAAGGAAAAGGAATTGAAGATTACGAAATTCATCATGGTAAGGGACGCTTTGGCAAGACCAAGTCATTACATAACCACTTTAAGATGATGCCACGTTTGGCAAACTGCTCTTCTTTATTAAAGGAGCAGTTCTGTAGTCTTAATATTTGCTTTTTGTCTCTGACATTAAGGTAACCGTGCATAGACTTTTCTTTTATCTCTTCTCTCCCAGAAGGAGGCATCAGATACTAAGAGATGTACTTTGCCTTTTCTATCTTGTCTATATGAAAGTCACCTATATGTTTACATACAAATGAAATCTCTGAAGCTAACCAAGACAGCGTACGTTTTGGGTAGGACAGCCAAAGAGTGCTGCAAGGCACACACTTCCTTGAGACTTAACCTGCCAGCTTTACAGTGCTGCCACTTGAAAAACTTGGATTTGATATCATGTCACTGCACTTAAAACAAATTCCTTAACTAATTTCAGTTCAAGAAAGTCTGTATTAAGACTTCGCCACTTATGTTCGTTTGGTTTGGTTCCAGGAAGGATTGTAACTGTAGTACTGTGTACCTCTAAAAGGATTAAAAAATAATGGTACAATGTACCATGTAAAAAATGGTACAATGTAAAAAATAATGTACAATGGTACAAAACTGTAGCTAGCAATAACTGGTGTTGTTTGATCCAGAATGCAGTACAAGGCAATTATGCACAATGAGGTTCTGAGTCTTCAGCCTCTCAGCTACTAGAAACAGCTTGCCAAGAAATCAGTCAAAACCTAAGCACTGTAATCTTAAAGAAGAGAGAAGAAAATTTTTTGACCACCTGGAAAAGATGAACCACATCTGATAGGGAAGGATGGTCCCATGCATCTCGTGTGTGCTCTCAGTATATAAGGTTTTTCCCTATCTGCAATTTCTACTGCAGAAAAGCCAAGAAGAGGTTGTGCACATGCAGCATTTCTACATCTTTTCATAATGGCATAAATTATAACTAGGGTCAGAGAAATATATTGGACTACAATGCATACATTGTTCTGAATTTTGATTTGCTATTTACAAGGCTGATGGCACACACAACTTTTTCCAGAAGTCACATCCATCCAATATTTCTAACAACACGATATCAAGAGATCTTTCATAAGGTAAAATGATTTCCTTTCTACATTGTTCTTTGAAGGAAAGAAGATCTTGTATGACATTGTTGCATTTGCCAAAGAAAGCGTCAACTCTCATGTTATCACACTGGGACCCCAGAATTTTCCTGGTAAAGAAAAGGAACCGTGGCTTGTGGATTTCTTTGCACCGGTAAATATTTAGTATCTACATGACCCTTTTTAAAAAGTGTTATGTAATTATGTAGCAAAATGCTATCAGTATCTTGAAGGCGTGCTTCAACATTACGGGACAGTACAATAATTTCTCATTCCTTGGCAGCAGTATTTCCTAGATTGCACGGATTGTTATTTTTAGTGCAGCTTGTTGCCAAAGCAGCATATTATTCTTTTCAAACAGCTGATGTTCTCCTGCTGCAGGGCCAAGCAATTGCCTTCATTTGCATTTTGTTTTCCAGTGGTGTCCTCCCTGTCGAGCTCTGTTACCGGAGCTGAGAAAAGCATCAAAACATCTTTATGGTCAGCTTAAATTTGGAACACTAGACTGTACAGTCCATGAGGGGCTTTGTAACATGGTAAGCTGCAGGAACTTATGTTTGATAGTTATTTTCTTTTTACGTGTATGTAACAATACGCTGTTTATGTGTTCTAAAAATCTTGGCTCTTTCTCCATGTTTGAATTTGCTTAGTTTTGCTTCAGTTATCTTATCTGGGTAAAAAATGGAATTACTCTCCCTGAATTCTCGCAAGTGCTACATTTTAGCAGGCATCAGCACATCTTATTGTTTATAAGAGCTTTTTCTGTTAGAAGCTTTCTATCTGTATTAGAAGTGAGGACATCTAAAAACACTTCAAGCCGTTCAAAAAAGGCAAAGCTTTTAAGTCATGTTTAGGTGTATTCTACTGAAGAACTTTGATTTTGAAAGCATCTGCATTCAATGTTAGATAGTACAGATCCTCATACGGCACAGGTCTTCACGTGAGGCTAAGATAGCCTTTAAGTTAAGGTTTAGAAAGCCTGTGGATTAACTTCTGTTTTGTGAAGGATGGCAAAAGAACTGCTGACTGGCTTTCCAATTCAGTACAAACTGCCATCTGAACACAACTGGCATTTTTTCTATACAGGTTTCAAACTCCACTTGTAAGTTTAAGCGGTTGTGTAGCACAAAAAGGACAGATGAGCAGCTGGGAGATAGCAGTACTAATGGCAGTTAAAGGAATGTACAGGACACCTAATAATTCCTTGTACCTTCTTACTGTGTTTTGTTAGCACAACATTCGAGCTTATCCAACAACTGTTGTGTTCAATCAGTCTGATGTTCATGAATATGAAGGCCATCACTCTGCTGAGCAGATCTTGGAGTTTATAGAGGTACGTAAGTTATAATCCTGGTTGGGATCATGCTATGTTTGCAGCTTATCCACAAACAATTTGTTGGAGGACCAAGATTTATTTTGGTTTTCATTAGACTAGTAAGGCTGGGAATGGAAAAAAACCTTCATCAACAAGTGATACAGCAAGCGTCAGTCGGGGACTTGAAACTTAGTAGATTTATTTCCCTACTCTGTCAAGTTATTTCTTTCAAATCGGTAGCAAATACCTGAAGATACTTTTCAATCTGCAGAACAGTGGTAATGACATCTACCTCATAGAATGGGTAATTTTGAGTAGAAGAGGAACATTCTCAGAGCTTAATACAGTCAGTGTGGGATGATAGCTGGAACAGGACAACTTCTAATTGCAAAGTACATGTCCATAAACTGCCTTTGCCATAGGATCTTAGGAATCCATCCGTGATCTCCCTAACACCAGAGACATTTGTAGAATTAGTTGAGAGAAGAAAACGAGAGGAAATCTGGATGGTTGATTTCTATGCTCCATGGTGCGGACCTTGTCAGGCTTTAATGCCAGAATGGAAAAAAATGGCCAGGGTAAGTGACATTCAGATGTTGTTCTGCTTTTATGTTTCATTCTGTGGAGTTACTGCTGTCTTAAATTTGTGTGCTGAAAAAGTCTAGTGATTAATATCATGAACAAAACAGGAATTCATACTTAGCAGTTCTACACTGCTCCAGATACTAAGCTTTTTGTATGTTTTTCAGCACATTAACTCTGTAATCCAGTGCTTCCTGTTAATGCTGTTAAAAGGCGTGTTTTCAAAGCTGTGAGGAACTTTGATACTTAACAGCTCTGTATTTGTTTAAAATAAAATCTGAAAAATTAAAGATTTATCTATAAATTGGGTAAGAATTAATTTCAATTATTTACCCCTTTATTCACAGTTATTCTCTATGACCATTAGTCACTTCTAAGATGGCACCTAGACCTTGGTGAAAGCTCTGGTTTTGACTTACGATTAGAGGAATTTAGTCTTACATATCTTAATTAATTCTTGTCCTTGCAAGATATTTTTTCCAGAGATTGTGTTTCTTTACTGAAAGTAAATAAATGTTAAAGAGTGCTGAATTTAAGGGTGATGATCAGTTAACTGAATTTCACATCCTTCCCACTCACGCTAATTGGGTATGGAAGGATGTTTTTCTTTTGCAAGGCCATTAGTGTTGTCATTTGCAAAGGTAGTACCACAATCACCAACAGTCATCTGAGCTTTCTTGGACATTTTTTAGGAATCCAAAGTAGAAACTTTGGGCAAAACAAGAGGGATTTGAAAGCTAGCCTGTGACTTTCAGATTCTTTAAACTAGCCTGGACTAGGAGTTCTATCTGAAGCTCTACATCAAACATCTGTGAAGTATCACAAGGCCTACAAGAATACACTCTAACCCTTGCTAGGTGGGTTTGGGCCTTTGCAACAAATTCAGCATGTCTAAGACACTTGCAAACTGTGAAACCCATAGCATAGCTACAGTGTACTGGGATCTGTCTTAACTGCTGAGCCTGAGATATGAAACATGGTAGCCATACCCAATAGCTGCCCTTTGCGTGTTCCTTTTAAGCCAAGACAGGTGCCTTGTAAGCCACATACATCACACCTTACACTAAAATGATACTGGCTGCTAGCAGCAAAGCTGGATGGCTGGCTCCCAGTAGATACCAGTGAGCCATTCAAAGGAAAGAAGAAAGCCTTGAATCATCTTGGTTGGTTTTGTTCTTCAGCTCAGTTAATTCAAGCAATTCAGACATCAATTCTGAGACGGCAGTATTATCAATTAGCATGTTTGATTGTTTCTTTTCCTAGATGTTAAATGGATTAATCAGTGTTGGCAGCGTGGACTGTCAAAAATTTTACTCCTTCTGTCACCAAGAAAATGTTCGGGGATATCCTGAAATAAGACTCTTTCCTCAAAAATCAAGCACAGCCCATCAGTATTAGTAAGTACCTCAGTTTAGAAAGTGATTGCACACTACAGTCACATGTTCTGATGCATGGAAAAATTTTCATTAAAAGCTATTAAAATAGGCTTCTATAATATTTTCATCCCAGTCATTGCTAGCTTCAAACACATGCCATTTTAATCTGCTGTCACATTTCAGTAGGTTGAACTGAAACTCAGGAACATGGCTTTTTCTTTCTTCTTGTTTAGCAGGGGCCAGTTTTAAGGTCAGTAGCCTGTTAAAGTAGATGTAAATCGTCGAATCTAAAAATATTAATAGGCTTAATTAGTTGCAGCTTCAAAGAACAGTATGCTGTAAATGTGTCCTGACCATCCTTTGCATCATTGCAAAGATTGTCTTGGTACATCATCTCATTCACTGCAGCATTAGTATGGACACGTTACTCATTAACACCACCAGAAATTCTAAGGGAAACGAAATGTAGCCAAAGAGCTTGTCCCCTTTGTTTCACAGCATTGTGTCAAGAGCTGGGG